ATTTATTTTGAAATTTACAATTCATCATTATTATCTCATGAAATATAAAAAAATCAAATATTTTGAAATAATTTTTTTTCAACGGAGGAGGGAGTATTAAGGTTTATGCGCTTCTGCAAGAGAAAGTAGTATATATATAACCAACGTCCGACGTGCTAGGGCTCCCTTGTCGTCTCATTTCACTCTTCTCTAATGAAATAATTAATTATTTCTTGCATGTCATGTTTAAATAATACTATAAGAAGTGTGGGGCTCGTTGTGGTCGATAAAGAAAGAATAATACTATAGGGTAAGTTTGGGTCATTAATTTATTAAATATATAGTCCAGAAAGTAAATAAGCAAAGGTGTGTTGACAATAACATAAAGAAATGTGGGTCACTGATCCCCTTGTCGTCTCTCCTCTTATGAAATAATTAATTATTTATTGCAACTCGTTTTTTTGTAAGGATGTCAACCACGTAATTAACTAACGTCCGACATGCATGCATGATTTTATTTGGTTCCAAAAACCAGTGGCATGCATGGCTAGTTTTATAAATAATCGAGGAAATAATTCATAATTAACATGCATGATTATAAGGGTGTTAAACTAGCTAGGATCAAAATATGACATGCATGATTCAACGTAGCTTACTTCTAAAAATCAGGGGTATGGTTTGTTTTCCGAACCTAGAAAAATCGGACTGATTGGGCCAAGTGTGATTAGTGTTTCAAGTTACATGCATGTTACAAGGTGTTCGGTGTGATTTTTCAAAAAAAAAATTCTCCTTCTTCTTTTTTTTTTTGTTCCTTCTAATAACAATTGTGATTTTTGAATGAACTCGGTCATGCGCTAAACAGCTTAAGGATTTCTTCGGATTGACATTTAGCATTTCATAAATTTACAAAGGTTAAAGCAGAGCAAAGATTTACAAGTCTTTCTCTTATATGATGAACACAAAAAAAAAGCGTATTTTTTATTTATTTAGTTTAAAGGAAAGCAAATAAAAAAGGCATGTGATGTGATGTGGGTTGCTGTTATTTTTATGGTATTGGTTAGTGTTGTGTATTTTTTTGTATGGGGATATAATATTTTCCTCAAGTCATGAAGGATATTTTGTTTTCTGTTGGTTATATATACACTTTCAACAAATCCGTTGACGAAGACCCTGAAAACAATAGCAACTACACAGGAGGTAACAACACATGTACACGTATATTCACGCCGGGATTAAATATAGGTCGTAGGTGCAGTGCATTATGCATGTGTATATATCGGGTACCTTTGTCACTAGC